ATTAAAATTATAGACTGATCATGTCTTTGTCAGTGGGCAAATGTACAAAGTCAGCAGGGGATCAAATACTTTTTTTTCCCTCACTGTACATGTAGTTCACTACTACAAACACTGACCACAATGTTAATCAATCAATCAATCAATCAATCAAATGTATTTATAAAGCCCTTTTTACATCAACACTTGTCACAAAGTGCTATACAGAAACCCAGCCTAAAACCCCAAATAGCAAGCAATGCAAATGTAGAAGCACTGTGGCAAGAAAAAACTCCCTAGAAAGGCTAGAACCTAGGAAGAAACCTACAGAGGAAGCAGTCTCTGAGGGATGGCCAGTCCTATTCTGGCTGTGCCGGGTGGAGATTATAAGAGTACATGGCCATTAAGGCCAGATTGTTGTTCAAGATGTTCAAACGTTCATAGATGACCAGCAGGGTCAAATAATAATTACAGTGGTTGTAGAGGGTGCAACAGGTCAGTACCTCAGGAGTAAATGTCAGTTGGCTTTTCATAGCCGAGCATTCAGAGGTCGAGACAGCAGGTGCGGTAGAGCGAGAGAGTCGAAAACAGCTGGCCTGGGACAAGGTAGCACTTCCGGTAAAACAGGTCAGGGTTCCATAGTCGCAGGCAGAACAGTTGAAACTGGAGCAGCAGCATGACCATGTGGAATGGGGGCAGCCAGGAGTCATCAGGCCAGGTAGTCCTGAGGCATGATCCTAGGGCTCAGGTCCTCCGGGAGGGAGAGAGGGAGAATTAGAGGGAGCATACTTAAATTCACACAGGACACCAGATAAGACAGGAGAATTACACCAGATATAACAGACTGACCCTAGCCCCCCGGCACATAGACTATTGCAGCATAGATACTGGAGGCTGAGACGGGTGGGTCGGGGGACACTGTGGCCCAGTCCGACGATACCCCCAGACAGGGCCAACCAGGCAGGATATAACACCACCCACTTTGCCAAAGCACAGCCCCCACACCACTAGAGTGATATCAACAGACCACCAACTTACTACCCTGAGTATAGCCCACGAAGATCTCCTCCACCGCACAAGCCAGAGGGGGCACAAAACCGGACAGGAAGATCATGTCTGTGACTCAACCCACTCAAGTGAGGCACCCCTCCTAGGGACGGCATGGAAGAGCACTAGTAAGCCAGTGACTCAGTCCCCGTAATAGGGTCAGAGGCAGAGAATCCCAGTGGAGAGAGGGGAGCCGGCCAGGCAGAGACAGCTAGGGTGGTTCGTTGCTCCAGTGCTTTGCCATTCACCTTCGCACCCCTGGGAAAGACTACACACAATCATAGGACCTAATGAAGAGATGAGTCTTCAGTAAAGACTTTAAGGTCGAGACCGAGTCTGCGTCTCTCACATGGATAGGCAGACCATTCCATAAAAATGTAGCTCTATAGGAGAAAGCCCTGCCTTCAGCTGTTTGCTTAGAAATTCTAGGGACAATTACAATTTAGTAGACGTTAGTGAGTGCATACATTCTTTTTATTTTTTCATACTGGCCCCCTGTGGGAATCAAACCCACAACCCTGGCATTGCAAACACCATGCTCTACCTACTGAGCTACATCCCTGCCGGCCATTCCCTCCCCTACCCTGGACCAATTGTGCGCCGCCCCATGGGTCTCCCGGTCGCGGCCGGCTACGACAGAGCCTGGATTCGAATCAGGATCTCTAGTGGCACAGCTAGCACTGCGATGCAGTGCCTTAGACCACTGCGCCACTCGGGAGGACAATAAGGAGGCCTGCATCTTGTGACCATAACGTACGTGTAGGTATGTACGGCAGGACCAAATCTGAGAGATAGGTAGGAACAAGCCCATGTAATGCTTTGTAGGTTAGCAGTAAAACCTTGAAATCAGCCCTAGCCTTAACAGGAAGTCAAAGGCTAGAACTGGAGTAATATGATCAAATATTTTGGTTCTAGTCAAGATTCTAGCAGCCGTGTTTAGCACTAACTGAAGTTTATTTAGTGCTTTATCCGTGTAATTTTTGGACAAAAAGTTTCAGATTTTTGCAATGTTACGAAGATGGAAAAAAGCTGTCCTTTAAATATTCTTGATATGTTCATCAAAAGAGAGATCAGGGTCCAGAGTAATGCCGAGGTCCTAAACAGTTTTATTTCAGACGACTGTACAACCATCAAGATTAATTGTCAGATCCAACAGCAGATCTCTTTGTTTCTTGGGACCTAGAACTAGCATCTCTATTTTGTCCGAGTTTAAAAGTAAAACATTTGCCGCCATCCACTTCCTTATGTCTGAAACACAGGTTTCCAGGGTAGGCAATTTTGGGGCTTCACCATGTTTCATCGAAATGTACAGCTGTGTGTCGTCCGCATAGCAGTGAAAGTTGACATTGTGAATGACATCACCAAGAGATTAATTGATATCTTTCTGACAGATAAGGTCTAAACCAGGCAAGAACTTGTCCGTGTAGACCAATTTGGGTTTCTAATCTCTCCAAAAGAATGTGGTGATCGATGGTGTCAAAAGCAGCACTAAGGTCTAAGAGCACGAGGACAGATGCAGAGCCTTGGTCTGACGCCATTAAAAGGTCATTTACCACCTTCACGAGTGCAGTCTCAGTGCTGTGATGGGATCTGAAACCAGACAGAACCATTTTGTATACAATATTTGTCTTCAGGAAGGCAGTGAGCTGCTGCACAACAGCTTTTTCTAAAATGTTTGAGGGGAATGGGAGATTCGATATAGGCCGATAGTTTTTTTTACATTTTTCGGGTCAAGGTTTGGCTTTTTCAAGAGAGGCTTTATTACTGCACTTTTAGTGAGTTATCCAGTGGATAGGGAGCCATGTATTATATTCAACATAGGAGGGCCAAGCACAGGAAGTAGCTCTTTCAGTAGTTTAGTTGGAATAGGGTCCAGTATGCAGCTTGAGGGTTTAAAGGCCATGACTATTTTCATGAATGTGTCAACAGATACAGGATTAAAAAACTTGAGTGTCTCCATTGATCCTGGGTCCTGGCAGTTCTGTGCAGACTCAGGACAACTGAGCTTTGGAGAAATACGCAGGTTCGAAGAGGAGTCCGTAATTGTCTTTCTAATGATCATGATCTTTTCATCGAAGAAGTTCATGAATTCATCACTGCTGAAGTGAAAGCCATCCTCTCTTGTTGAATGCTGCTCTTTAGTTAGCTTTGCGACAGTATCAAAAATAAATGTTGGATTGTTCTTATTCTCCTCAATTAGGTTGGAAAAATTGGTTGATCGAGCAGCAGTGAAGGCTCTTCGGTATTGCACGGTACTGTCTTTCCAAGCTAGTCGGAAGACTTCCAGTTTGGTGGAGCGCCATTTCCGTTCCAATTTTCTGGAAGCTTGCTTCAGGGCTCTGGTATTTTCTGTATACCAGGGAGCAAATTTCTAGTGACAAATGCTTTTTGTTTTTAGGTGTGTGACTGCATCTAGGGTATTATGAAAGGTTAAATGTAGATCCTCAGTTAGGTGGTTAACCGATTTTTGTACTCCAATGTCCTTGGGTATGTGGAGGGAGTCTGGAAGGGCATCTAGGAATCTTTGGGTTGTCTGAGAATTTATAGCATGGTTTTTGATAATCCTTGGTTGGGGTCTGAGCAGATTATGTGTTGCGATTGCAAACGTAATAAGATGGTGGTCCGATGATAGTCCAGGATTATGAGGAAAAACATTTAGATCCACAATATTTATTCCACGGGACAAAGAGTAGGTCCGGAGACATGTTGGACAAAACCCACTGAGTCAATGATGGCTCCGAAAGCCTTTTGGAGTGGGTCTGTGGACTTTTCCATGTGAATATTAAAGTCATGTTCCGATAGGAATTCAGAGAACTCAGTGAAGAACGCTATATATGGCCCAGGAGGCCTGTAAACAGTAGCTATAAAAAGTGATTGAGTAGGTTGCATAGATTTCATGACTAGAAGCTCAAAACACGAAAATTCAGTCTTCCTTATGTCTGAAACACAGGCTTCCAGGGTAGGCAATGTTGGGGCTTCAACATGTTTCATTGAAATGTACAGCTGTCGTAAATGTTAGCAACACCTCCGCCTTTACGGATGCGCAGGGGATATGGTCACTAGCATAACCAGGAGGAGAGGCCTCATTTAACACAGTAAATTCATCAGACTTGAGCAATGTTTCAGTCAGGCCAATCACATCAATATTATGATCAGTGATTAGTTCATTGACTATGACTGCCTTGGAAGTGAGGGATCTAACATTAAGTTGCCCTATTTTAAGATGTGAGATATCACAATCTCTTTCAATAATGACAGGAATGGAGGAGGTCTTTATTCCAGTGAGATTGCTAAAGCGAACACCGCCATGTTTAGTTTTGCTCAACCTAGATCGAGGCACAGACACGGTCTCAATGGAGATAGCTGAGCTGACTACACTGACTGTGCTAGTGGCAGACTCCACTAAGCTGGCAGGCTGGCTAACAGCCTGCTGCCTGGCCTGCACCCTATCTCATTGTGGAGCTAGAGGAGTTAGAGCCCTGTCTATGTTGATAGGTAAGATGAGAGCACCCCTCCAGCTAGGCTTTGTCCTGTTTGTGGGTGAGTCCCAGAAAGAGGGAGAATTATCAACAAATTCCATCTTTTGGGAGGGGCAGAAAACAGTTTTCAACCAGGGATTGAGTCGGGAGACTGCTGTAGAGCTCATCACTCCCCCTATCTGGGAGGGGGCCAGAGACAATTACTAGATGCTGAAACATCTTTCTAGCTACTGTTAACCTTATGCCTAACCATGAAATTCATGAATTTCTAAGATATAGCAAATTTTGACTTGATGCAAGAGTTTAGGGAAGTATTTATAGTCAAATTCATCAAACGATTCAAATTGGCAGATTCAGGCATTAGCGAAAGTATGACTAGGTAAATGATTATATATTTTTTCATCCAGCCAATGAAATCGCGTTTACTCGCTCCAAAGGCGCTGATTGGATGCATTCGTTTTTTACGCTGATTTTTGAAGTGTATCAGCTAAGCGCGGAATTTGAAATACCCTACCAGCAAAGACCGTTCTTATTATAGCTCAATGGCAAGCCAAGCTAGCGACACAGATAGAATAAGCCACCAGTGTCTTTGCTAGCGACGTGAATGTAATACTTAACATTTAGTTAGTGAATTAATATAACTTATATTTGCTCATATTTGTATTGTTGGATATTGGAGTGGGAACCGCCAGTCGGCTGTTCAGTCCACACCATGAATGTTGGTTCGCATTTACAGTAAGTTCCGTAGCTAGCTAGCTAACGTTAGTTAGCTAACTCTGCTTTTATTTTCCCCCACCCAGCTAATCCTGATTCCTTGCTAGCTAACTAACAGTAGCCAACTAATGTTAAGTAACTATTTCCTATTTTCCTGCTTGCTGAATAATACAACATTTGATATTAGAGTTTCTTCGCTGATACAACTTACAGTAATACTTGGTTTTGATTGACATAAACATATTGTCATCCATGCTAGAAGTTAGCTAGCTAACAGTTAAGCAGAACAGAAGAGAAAGAGGTTCAAAACTGCGGTTGAGTTTTAATCAAATTCATTTGTTTTACAGGAGCTTTGAGGAAAGTTTGAGCAACTATACTGGAGACGACCCCCTAGATCCATGGGACAGGTACCGTAACTTGTGCATGCGTTATATTCCATTATTATCTTCATAGAGGGGGCACCCACCAAAAGTAAACAATTAAGGGTTATACATTTTTACATGCAAATCTCACTTGGTTTGGGAGCAACATAACTGGATTTTTTGTGTGAATATTTGTTGGTGTGTAACTATCTTTACCATACATTTACATTATTTCAGGTTTATTGAATATCTAGAGAAGAGATTACCTGCTGAAGACTCCAAGGGGATGTCTCTTGTGCTAGATCGTCTAGTACAAAGATTTCTCCAAGAGGAGCGCTACTCCAATGACATTCGATACGTAAACTACTGCATCAAATGTGCAAGCTATTACAATGAGCCCATCAAACTGTACAGCCACATATACAGTAAGGGTATTGGCACCAGAGCTGCAGTCCTCTATGTGGCGTGGGCTCAACAGTTTGAGCAGCAGGGCCTGCTTCAACAGGCTGACGCCGTCTACCAGAGAGCCATGGAGAACCAAGCTGAGCCAGCTGACACGGTCCTTCAGCAATACAGGTAACCTCCAACACTTAGTTAGAACGCAAATTATTACATGTCAAAATTAAGGACTCTATTGAATGAAACTGATATGAAAAGTTTTAGCCTTTCCATGTTGTGTTTATTGTTGATACATCTAAATGTATTCACAGGAGGTTCCAAACCAGGACTTCTATAGGTGGGACAGGGGCATCAGGTGAGACTGTTTTCTTCCTTGTGGACCGGTTCTTTGACTGTGGAATTCATAAAAGGAAACTAACGTATCCACTATCTAAACTGAATTTATTTATGAAAACAGAAGGTGTACGGAATCCTCTTCAGACTTCTCACTTGGTAAATCAGCAGCAATTCCACAGAGAGCCTAGCCCACAGTACAAGGTCAGTTACCACATTTTTCTGTCTTCAACATGTTTATAAATAGCTTCAGATTCATTTCTCATGTGTTTGTTCATAAAAAGTGATCAACAGAGAAATATATATTTTTCTTCCACAGGACCCTGAAGGTCTATCCCAACTCCCTGCAGACAGAACAGTTCGCATGTAAGTCTTTAGAAATAAAACCAAAACATTTTCTTGTCCCTACATTTTATATATTTTTTGAGAAGTTACATTGTATTCCCTCTAATGAAACAACTCTCCCGCAGAATCTCCCGGTCTGAAAATGTGGTGGTAAATAAACCCAATCAAGGCCCGGCTGTAAACTTGCAAACAGTGTCGATGTACCGTACTGAAGACCTCGTCTGTGAAGGGTCTGAACTTTGCTTCGAGGAGGTCAGAGCCAGACGATACTTTGTGAGACGCAAGCAAGTGGAGAAGCAGAGAGAGTTTGGTAGGGTCATATGACTTCCTAGCCAGCACTGTTGCATCGCACTCCTCTAACAGAGTAGAAATGCAAGGCTGTATTTTATTGTGTAGTCAGACATCAAAATGAACTGGCCACATGACATCCTTTACAGACACCCTTTATCTAAATCAAATGCACCAATGGGTGAGTGTGTACCTCACCAGTACAGTGCCAACTGTGATTTTTGACCTATGTTTGTTTGTTATATTACCAGGGGAACGTCAGAGGTTGGCTAGAGAGCAGGAGGAGGAGGTGATGAGGATGAACCAACTGCTGGAGGAGCTGGAGAGTAACCTCGGTGTGAGCTCTACAGGCCAGGGAAGCTCAGCCATTGCTCCACCAGTGCAGGTAGGAGAATCCACATGGCTCCTTAACTTCAGATGTTTCGATTGTTGTGGTTCCCCTAGAATTTGTAGGACCCTTTTTTAAATGTGGTATGCACTTCTGTTTTCAGGCATCCTGCACACCTGCAACAGGACTGAATCCTGAGTTCCTCCAACAGTCCTTTAGGCACCCTCCACTCTCAAACAACCTCGGCATTAAACCCACTCCAGGCTTGAGACTGAACAGTGGACAGGTCCCCAGAAAAGGCACGGTGAGGGAACCTGAGGCCCACTTTCAGCACGACCGTCTCAGTGTTCCCATCACAGACACCCTGCTCTCACAGAGGTCCTCTCCCCCATCTGGACAGGTGGAAGAGGAAAACACCTCCCATAGTCGCTCCCTTCACCTGCCAGAAGCACCAATGGGTCACTTGCGTGAATGTACAGAAGCGCCAAAACCATCTTCAGTCGCTCCCCAGGCATATACTCTACAGGCCTCTCTGGTTCAACCCCAACCAGGACAAATCCCTAAGCCTATTGGATTGTCATTTGGATCGTCCCCACAGAAGCCAGCAGCCTATGGATCTGAGTTGCAGCACGGGGGAGTTCCTCGCCAGGATGTTCGCTCCCAGTCCCACCTCGGTGGCTTAGGGAACTACCTCAGCAGCAGCTTCCAGCAGCACAATGGCAGAGATCATCAGTAAGTAATAATGAGTCATCATGTCTCTAGATTAGTCCTGGTTTCAGATGTGTAATTATTTGCAACCAGAATGTATTATGTGTCTCTAGCCTCTTTAGCTCTGTCAGGGACGAGACGCCTCAGAGATTTAGATAATGAATTTGTTTTTAATTAATTGTATCATCTAAGCTAATCGTTTCTCTTTGTTTTTCCAGTGAGGTGTCTGTCAGTGAAGCTACTGAGTCAGAGGTGAAATTAGATGGTAAGTAAAATATCATAATCTGGGCCCTTTCTTCCCCTCATTGGTTTCCGTATGTGAATTAAAAGGTTTAATTACACCGTCCCTCACTCTCTCTGTCAGTGTCACAGGGAGGGACTGGGAACCTGTCCCATATCACTCCTAACACTTCTCTAGGACTGGTTCAAGCCACCCCGTCCAGGGTTCTCCCATCCCCCACAGTCAACACACGGGAGGCACTTGGTGAGTTGGGAACTCAACTCTTATTCATTTGCTCAAATGAAGGCATTTCTTCATACATTTATTGGTCACTCAGTCATAAAGTGTGTTGTGTTCAGATATGGTGATTTTAAATTCAAAGGCAGAAAAAAACATTGGTGCTAAAAACAATCACTTCCGTGGTGCTATCTGCTACACCGAATCCCTTTTTTGGTGGAGATATTCCAATGTATTACCATACATCTGTGTGGTAAAGGCAGTACAACCAATGGAGATTTAGCATAGAGATCCTATTAAATTACTAGAGGGGCTATGTCATAAACCTGAACAAAAGTTCCAGAATGGGGTGAAAATGGCAGCCAAATTGGTCAGGGAGGAATGAATGTCAGTAGTGTCATAATCCTGATTTTTACTTATGCAGGAAAATAAAAGTAAGGAATGTGATATATGTAAATAAATGTAAATGTAAATATATAATTATTGTCAACCTAAAATATTGTCATATAATTATAAATATTTTATAAAGGTTTTATACACATTTTCTGTATAAATAGCCTCTAAAATATATTTAAACAGACCATCAATATCTCAGATTATTTTGATTTCTTGGAAAGCTGTGAGTGCTATTATATGATACATTATCAGTACTTGTTGCATTTACAACTTGTCTAAGTCCTATCATCAACTGATTTCAGCCAGTATATGGACAATGGCTGTGGATTGACTATATTGTTTGAATGGAATATTGGCATATTGGCAGTTAATTTGAAAAATGAAACTAGCTGGCTAGCTACAGTAGCTAACAAACATACAGTGCAGATACATTCTTAAAATTCATTATTTTACACTCTTATCACAGCACTGGCAAACCATGGTTGACCAACTCCCTGACCAAAATGGCTGACCTTTTATCATCCCATCATAAGAAGGTTCATGTCCATTATAGTATTCTAATTCCTAATTATATGGTCCTTAGTATCTCACCTCTTTACCTTCCCCTCCAGATGCTATCATGGACATGTTCCAGGCTCCAACCCTCATGCAGGAGGACCAGTTCCCCAGCATGCCAATGCATCAGGCGGAGAAGCGCTTTGATGCTATCTACCAGAGAATGGGTAATTCAATTCCCCCTTCGATTGGAACTTCTCAAAACCTTTGTTTCAGTCTGTATGTCAAATCAAAAGTGCATTTAAAATTGCAAAACACTTTACAGTAAAACAATAAAATGAGAGGTAAAAGAAAACGACAATCAATCAAAGGGATGCATAATGGCAGGTCGCCCTTTTTTTATTTTACATACAGTGGTTAAATGTCTGGTTTATTTTTCTCATTTTTATTTAAAGGAGGCGCCTCTTTGTTCAGCAAGCCCCCCAGTGCAGTGCCTTTTGCCATTTTTCAGGATGAGAACGACAACAAGGAGAACTGCAGGTGAAGCATGCGGTTCTTCTCCGGCATCCCGTTTTCTTTGCTATCTCTTTAATTCTCAAAGTAAATTTATGAACACTGTTTTATTGTGCGTTTCCTGCTCCATTTAGTGCTGCTATGGTGGACAAGGCTAAGCCACCAAGGGCCCTAGCAGAAATCCCTTTATCTAAACCAGAGAAACAAAATGTAAGTGCACAATTACATGGTGACATACCCATTTCATTCAGCAAGGGCTCAAAGAATAATGATGGTTGGGTTATTTTAAGTTGTGTACACAATGCAAACCTTTATCGTTTCGTGTGTGTGTTTGCTCAGGAATCTCCGTCGGAATTGATACCAGATGAGAGCACTATGTGGGGAGCACGCTACAACTCCCTCAACTCCCTGGCCAACTGCCCCAACAGCACCAGAGACTTTTCCCTGTCGGCCCACCTGGTCTCCACGCCCTTCCAAAATAAAGCTCCTTCCTCCTGGAACTTTGAGCAGGACCAAGGTAGCCCTCTATCTGAGCTCATTCATAGGATGCATGCATCCCAATTACCACCATAGGGCACTGGGCAAAAGGAGTGCACTACATAGGGAATGGGGTGCCATTTGGGATGCAACCATAGGCTGTTCAGAAATCAAATGCCCTCACCTGACATAAGGTGTCTGTAGTTCAGAACAACAATGTGGTCTAAAGCAAGTACTTGACCTTTTTTGGCTCTGTTTCTTTCTCCTCCCACTAGAAAATGATCACCCCAGAGGCTTTAGTGGTCCAGAAGAGGGGCCTTTCCTGCGACAGCCCACAAAACTCAGGTACTTACCGGAAACCTGATATTGTAGACTACCAGTAACTGCATTGTACTGTATGTTTTCACTCTGAATGCTTGTTGGTCAACGATTTTGAGGTGTAGTCAAGTGTTTAGGGCAAACACATGTAGTTGCATCCATGGCGAAGATAATGAGTTTGTTTCCCTCCCTCAGCCCTATTATAGAGCAGAGCCCACCTGATGGGCTATCTGAGACCGGCGCTGAGTGCTCTATGAGGGCACAGGGCTTTGCTGAGCAGGGCACCATCGTGGGGGAAGGGCTGGCCCAGGCCCAGCGAAGCCTGGCTACCTGCTCCATGACTGAGGTGCAGCATCATGCCCCGGCCACACTGTCCTTCAGAGACCAGACTGCCCCACTGTCTCATACTGAGGGGGCAGGGGCCAAAAGCCCTCCTCCCAAGGCCTCTAAACCAGACTGGGATGTCTATGTGAGCCCAGAGCAGTCTTTAAAGCCAGCCTGTCCTCTCTCACAGCATGCATCTGTGGCAGAGGCATCCCTTTCAAAGAGCCAGATCTATGCCCTCAAATCCAACTTTGATGTCTCAACTAGTCCAGAGAAAGCCCCAACGCCTGCCTTCGATATCCCCATGAGCCCGGAGTGTGCACCCAAGCCAGACTGGTTAGTGGTCAAAAGCCCAGAGGTTGGCGTTGAACCCGACCTGGACTTGGATGCCTTCATGAATCCCCGTCAGGGTCAGAGAACAGATGTCTTCCCTCTGAAGACCATGGACATCCCAATGAGTCCAGAACCATCTAAGTTTAGCTTGGATGGTACCATGAGTCCAGTCCATCCGTCATTAAGGTTCAGAATGGATATTCCTATGAGTCCAGCTCCAGAGGTGAGGTACGGCATGGATATTCCTATGAGCCCAGACCAAGGGTCAAAGGTGAACATGGATGTGCCCATGAGTCCAGCAGTTCAAGAGGCAGTGGCTGTAGCGCAGTTCTCCGACCCCTGGGATGAGGAGCTGATCTCCTCCCTGCTCTCCAAACTGCCCATGCCACTCCCCTCCCAGCCAAACTTCATCACCTGGCAGTGCAAAGTCCCTAGCATCGCACCCAAGATGACCATCAAAATGGGTAAGAAAGTCTTGGTGTGTTTACAGGCAGTGACTTTAAAAACAATTTCACCCCATTTTTAAAATCTGAAAATCGCTGTGATGGTCATCCACAGGTGAAGGCTCCTTACGGGTTGACTGCATCCTCGGACAGGGTGCCTTTGCCACGGTCTACCAGGCAACTGACCTGACAACCTCAGAGAAGATGATTTTAAAGGTAGGATGGATCTTGACTTTATATTAATTTTAACTTGGTGACTCCACTGACCTTTCATGAAATGAGTAGTGACTGTTTTGGTGCTGCCATTAGTAAGGCCTGATAACATGACGGCTTTATAGTGACCTTATCCTCACAATTCATGCATTCCTATTGAATGCTTGATTGTCAATTCTTGTATGTGTCTTGATCTGTACACGTAGGTGCAGAAACCAGCCAATCCGTGGGAGTTTTACATCAACACTCAGCTGAATGCCAGACTGCAGCCCAGCGTGCGCCACCTCTTCAACAACTTCCACTCTGCCCACCTCTTCCAGAACGGCAGCGTGCTATTGGGCGAGCTCCACAACTGTGGCACCCTATTGGTGGGTAGTAACCCCTCTTCATCACCCACCAGACTTTATCAATCAATTGAACATCAGGGCTACATCTCAAAGTGTGCACTTGTTCACTTCCCTTCACTGATTTGAAAGGAAATGACTGGTATTAAAAATATGATGGAAACTCTCTGTAGCCCATGCCTCTACCAATCCAATGCTTTTAGATTTGTGGGAAGTAATGAACAAGTTTACACTTCAGGAGAAATAAAATATAATTGGGATGCACCCAAAAAGAGGCCACACCGGAGCACTAAAAGGAGTTAAACACGTTTATTATTCCCCTCCAGAACGCTGTGAACCTGTACAAGAACCTGAGTGACAAGGTGATGCCCCAGCCTCTGGTGATTTACTTCACTGTCTGCATCCTGCACATGGTGGAACAGCTGCACAGCATCCGCATCGTTCACGCTGACATCAAACCAGACAACTTCCTGCTGGGAGATAGGTAGGGATGGCTCCTTACTGGTGGTCATGTCTCTGGGAATCTTTAGTAATGGATGGATGCAGTACTCTACCAGGGATTACCAGTGGCTCTTCACTGTGCTAATTGTTTGCCTGTTGTGTTTTAGGTTCCTGGAGAACAAGTCTTTTGACCCAGATAATCTGGATCATGGCCTTGCCCTGATTGACCTGGGTCAGAGCATTGACATGACTCTGTTCCCAGAGGGCACTTCGTTCACCGCCAAGTGTATGACTTCAGGCTTCCAGTGTACAGAGATGCAGAGTGGGAGACCATGGAACTACCAGGTAAAGTGTGTCTGTCGTGTCAAGTGCGTGTCCTCTAGTGATATGGTGGATGTCCGATACGACCTGTTGAGAATATTAACTACGTTTCTTTGTGTTTTAGACGGACTACTTTGGAATAGCTGGAACGGTGTACTGCATGATTTTTGGAACATACATGCAAGTAACACAGGAGGGTGGTGTGTGGAAGACAAACTCAGTGTTTAGAAGGTAACCATTGAGGAGGAGTGCTAATGGCTTTTTATGGTTTCACTGGTTGTGGTTGTGTAAAAAACATATTTTTTGCTCTCTGTAATCACTTGAATATTTTTGTTTGCATTTTGAAAACATCTCCGCCTTTTGACCCAAAACATCTCCTCTCCAGACATCCCCACAGTGATCTGTGGACAGAGTTCTTCCACACTCTGCTGAATGTGCCTGACTGCAGTTCCCTGCCCTGCCTGCGGAGCCTGCGCAGTAGACTGAGCACTGTGCTCCAACAGAACTACAGCAACAAGCTGCCATCGTTGAAGACCCGCCTGGTCATCCAGCTGTTAGAAAGTAGGTCGGCACGGAGATAGAACTCCCTGGGTGCTGTTCAGGAGGTATAAAATGAATGAAAGCGGTCTGAAACTGAGTGGAACAAGGAGATGCTGTGTGAACTTGTCCACTAAGAAACACTTGTTTTTGTTTTCGGTAACAAAACGTTGTAAACACGACCCTGGATTGGTATTACTGCCATGTCTCATCTCTACACCATTTGTAAATACAAAAGATTTACTTTGAATTGGGTACCTTGAATAACCTTTATGTATTTTTTGTGATAACTTTTTGCCCATTTGTAAATTACATAAATAGGGAGATTGATGTTATGGTGTATTTTCATTTGTAAATAATTAAAAACCTTTTCAGTCTGACAAGTGTAGTCATGGCCTCTGTTTGGCTTTCAGTTGGGTCCTGACAGAGATCATTGCGGTCCTCTGTAGCTCAGCTGGTAGAGCACGGCGCTTGTAACGCCAAGGTTGTGGGTTCGATCCCCGGGACCACCCATACACAAAAAAATGTATGCACGCATGTAGATTATTTGGATATGGTCGTCTTTCTGCTTTGTATGCGTTAGCCTAGGCCTACCTATTGTATTAAAAGCACATCTTTGTCGCAATATTCGCACACTTTCAGAATTGGCTGCTTCAACTTTAGTAGACTACCTCTCCTCCATTGGGAGTGCGAGATCAAGTAAGTGCCTAGTTTGTGTGGTCTCATTGAAATAGAGTAGGCTGCCTATGCATGTGGGAGAATCACGTGGCAGTTATATTTCCAAGGAAATTAATTTTAAAATGATTACACCACAGGAGGTTGGTGGCACCTTAATTGGGGAGAACAGGCTTGTGGTAATGACTAGAGCAGAATCAGTGGAATGGCATCAAATCTTGCTTCTTCAAGTTCAGTAGCCATACGTGCAAGATCAGGTGCGCCTGTGGTCTCAATTACAGAGTAGGCTAGGCTATATCCTAAGCATGGGCGGAGAACAACGGGACGGTTAAATGTCCAAGGAAATGTACTTCCTAAATATGATTAGGCTGTAGTTTACTACATTGCCTTGAAATAAATATTGACCACCCATATTTCTCCATCTTAAAAGTATCCAACTCTGCTCTCTTCAAACTACATCTAGCATATTGGCTGATACAGCCCAGTAATACAGATAGCCTAATATAATGGGCCACGTGGGAATCTGGTAATTTAACCTATTTCATAGTTATTGTTGCGCATTTTAATATTGCCTATAGGGCGCACAATTGCTGGGACCATGGCTAGCAAGTGAGCTGCGTCACAAATGCTTAAAATAACATTGCGGGACAGTGGTTGGCTTTGGGACCCGTTTTTGCGATAGCGGATGCGGTATGAAGAAACGAGTACTGCGCAGACCTCTAGTTCCAACTTAATGCAGGATGATGTCACTAGGTGTCGCCCTTGTTCATGAAGCTAAGCAACGTGCTATAGATTTAGTGTGTAATTTTAAATCCACTATTTGATATCTAGCTAGACACTAACACAGTATGTGTGTACAGTAAACCGAGTATTTCACAGGCCATTTACCAGTCATTCTCCTGAGTCTACAGTACAAGATAAATGAAGGCAAGGCAATTATTAGTGATGTTTCCATACATGAACCCTATCTAGATCCAGCTGTTTCATGATTATAGAGTATACAGCAATCAGATCATGGTTTTCATCCTGAACACAGAACTAGAATGCGTTCTAATGAGTTCATTCTATTTCCATCACCTAGACTGAGAGAATAGATCAAAACAAATGAAGCAGGTTAATGAAGCTTGTATTCTGTTATTTAGGCTATCAAAACAAACTCCAGGTGAAGATTTCCACTAGATGTTATCCACACTGTATACCTGAATCTGGACCTGTATTATAGTGCATTACATAATTGAATGGAAGAAGTGATATATGAAATAACCACAAAGTTACTAGCCTGGATCCAAACAGAATATTTCCATTTGAGCAATTCAGTTTCGAGTCATACTAAATATTTAAAAAATTTGACAGATGCCTCTCTGTTTGGCACTTAACCCTCCCGTTGTCCTAGGGTCAAAATGACCCGCCACTGTGTTGAACCAACTTTATTTAATTTTTATATTTTTTGGATCATTTGTGAGAAGGAGGCAGTGATACTTTCTTTAAAGTCTCACTGCCTCCTTCTCACAAATGATCCCCAAAATATAAAAATTAAATAAAGTTGGTTCAACACAGTGGCGGGTCATTTTGACCCTAGGACAACGGGAGGGTTAAGGATATTGATTGGGTGATAAGCCCCTTTGGCAGACTAGCATCCTGTCCAGGGGGTGTACTGGTACATCAAGCTGCCTTGTGCTACAAAAACAGGAGATGGGCCATTCTATGAAGTCTTTCTTACCATTTAGTTTGGATCCAGGCCACATACGTAGTTACCACAATCTGTGCCCCTACCGTATAGTTCCCTCAGAAGTGCCTCTAGCTTTGCCACTGACTGTCCCATTGCCAGCCACACTGTTTGTCTCCCACTTACAGCTCTGGTCTTCCTCTGATGCCCTCGGCTCTCTGCATGATTAATGAGATTCTTTGTTGTGTTTGGTCACAGCGCCTGCGTCCCAAATATCAACCCATTTCCCTGTTGGCCCTGGTCAAAAGTAGTGCACTATAGAGTAAACGGGGTGCCATTTGGGACGTATACAGCATTGTCAATTATGTCACAATCTGAAGGCTGGGAGATGAAAAGAGAGATGGGCGCAGCAGAGACGTGCTGCTCTTGGTATTGCTGCTAATTAAATCTCCAGGCAGCTGGAACGGTGACGCTGAAACAGACCATCCTTTTAGGGTGGACGCTAGAGTAAACCTCTCAAGGGGGTTGATGATAAAAACGTGCCTCAATCGGTTTTTCATTTTCCATCCCCTCAGGCGAGAGTGATATCAGTGAACATCAAAATAGGTGGTCCTCAATAAACTCCTGAGAAAGCGCACTTTGAAAGTAATCCTCTTTATGAATATTTGATTTTCCAGGTCTTTAATGCTGTGGCTCACAGTGAGGTGTTTTACATACATTATCATTTTCTGCTTTGCATACTATTGTCCATCCAGCGGAACAAAGAGGAGAGGAACAGAAAGGCAAAAGTGGTTTGTTTGTTGAATAGATATACTGTAGGCGCTCAAGGACAAGGGTCGGGTGTGACTGATAATTCATCCAAAAACTTGAGAGAGAAGAGAATTAATCAGTATATTCATGCCACTGTGCTGACACTTTGTAATGAGAACCTAGCCACCCTAACGAATGGGGGGCATTTACACATAGCAAAAACCTCATAACATTGAATATTCATCTAGGGCAATTACTTTTTAATTTGGTGTATTCCATTGTGTGGGATATTAAATGTCACAAACTGAATATGTAATTTGTAATTGTGTGGTGGCTTTAATATCCAGCCTTGTGAGAGACTGAAGCCACAGGTAGCAGAAGAGGGAGGTGTCACGCCTTGCTGCTGCTGGCTGCCCTTAGTGGAATATTACTTCCCATTTAAGGTCATTAAGACGACCTGCAACAGTGTTGATTAATGAGAGGTTTCCGAGGGCCTAAGCTGACAAATGAGGGCTGCGTCCCAAATGCCACCCTATTCTCTACGAAGTGCACTACTTTTGACCAGGGTTCAATCGGGTAAAATTTGAGACTCCAACAAGTTTCCTTCCAATGCACCATAGCATGTGCCTTGGTTCTGAGGGCCAGTTGCCAGCTGAAGTACCTCCCATGGTCTACTGTGGTCCTTACACACATGGTCACCTCAGAGCAGAGTGGTGAATGATAGTGACACTCCTGAGAGGTCATTTGATGTTATGTGACTCTCTACCTTGGCAACAGCCAGTACACATGAAAATAGCCACTGACATGAGAGATGTGGCTGAGCCATGAAAACCTCACCAAGGTAACCAATTATCAAGAAGACTCCTTGCTTTTGTTCCCCCAAGGTCTCTGTTCAATGTCGTAGGATCACAGAGAATGGTGCTGTTCACAGCACCACAGGAGAATGAAAGCAACTGTATTCTAGACAGTTTCCTCTGTGCTGATGATGTGCTCATGATATTATCTTTCTGAACACAGAGCTGTACCCCTGGGTGCAGAGGGTATCAATATTACATATCTCATTAACTTCGGAAAAGAGAGGAACATCAGAATCTATCCTGTCAACGCTGGGTCTATCATTTTGACACTAGGAGGTTTTCTACATAGAATTCTACTCATAGACACTCAGATTGTACAACTGATGATTTGACACAATGGTTTTGATACAACTGATATTTTTGTGATATAACAGATTTTTACACAACCATTGTGCGTTATAATTTATTTTTGTGCAGAATAACTCTCCATTGTATCACAAGTGACTATTGTGCCAAATGTGTGGTACATCAGTTATGTGTACGGGCCACAGAGAGAGGTGTGATCACCTTCCTGTACCTCAGGCTCAGCATGTCATCAAAATCAGATTAGGGGGCACTGCATAATACATTGAAGCACGGTATGTGTCACATCTGTGTTGAAATGCGTATCTGAGAAGAATGATCTTCTGGAATACCCTGGCATAAGATGACTAAGTGTGCGCCCCAAGTGGCACCCCTATTCCCTATGTAGTGCACTACTTTTGACCAAGAGCCCTGGGCTCTTGTCAACGGTTTTGCACTATGTAGGGAATAGGGTGCCATTTGGGACGCAGGTGAGTTTCCATGCATGGCATAGGTGGCTCAGAATTGCAGGTTGTGCTCCTTTCTCTATTTATTGCGACCTTTTTACCGTTGGTGACATCTGGGTTTTGGGATTCTCATTAGCATAAATATATGAACAGCAAGAGAACACAGTGGGGATGTAAATGTTAGCTGTCAAAAGATGATGCAGCACACAGTTAGTGAGACAAACACCCTCTGCCCCCCTTCCCCCTCCTGACTCTCCTCTCAATCCCAGTCTGCTGGAGCGTGTGACAGGACTCCAGGGATCCTGTGGTCCTCTGTAGCTCAGCTGGTAGAGCACGGCGCTTGTAACGCCAAGGTAGTGGGTTCGATCCCCGGGACCACCCATACACAAAAAAAAAAATGTATGCACGCATGACTGTAAGTCGCTTTGGATAAAAGCGTCTGCTAAATGGCATATTATATTATTATTATTATGAGAGAGCCACAGCACTGATCCTGCATCAGCCTCATCAAGGCACTGTATTCGAAATCTGCTCTGTTGTCTTTGTTGGAAGCTGAGTAACAAGGTCCTACTCCTTGAGGTGACTCAGGCCCATCCTAAATAGCACCCTATTCCCTACACAGTGCACTACTTTTGACTGGTCAATCCTGTCTGTTTATAGTAACACTCCAGCTAAAGTGGTCAGGTATAATTTAGCACGCGTCCTCTTCGTTCTGGTATCGTTCCATGTGCACGACATGTAAATACTTGTATGTGGGGGGTGTGCGAAAGTGAGTGGGAGTATCGCTCTGTCTGTCTGCTCTCACTGGCCTCAAGGTAGTGTTGCTTTGTGCTGTCATCTGGAGGAATCTACAAGCATAGACTGAAAAATAACACCGGGGAATGAACTGGTCTGTTTACGTCCATAAAGATAGACCTACAACTGTCATTCCAATAGGCTAACTGGCCAAACAGGTCACTGGGAAAAGAGCTCACTGGGCTAACAGCTCTGAGATGGAAATGGAAAGCGGCAGTAGACCTTCAAGAGGCACCACCTCAGACCAAAATAGCTCAACATGTCAGTTTGATACTGTAAAGTGTATTCTAGCATCAATATCGCTGCTATTTCACCTCCAGTCAGCTGTGTTTGCTTGTATCTATGTGGCTGTATAAAATACTCTGTTTTGACATAGTGTATTTTAAACAGTGCACCATGATATAACCCATTTTTTCTATGCCTGTTGTATTTAAAACAAACCAAAAATGAATAAGCCCAAAATCAATATTCATCAGGAACAGACACATACTCTACTCATAGAACTGTGGTCCTCTGTAGCTCAGCTGGTAGAGCACGGCGCTTGTAACGCCAGGGTAGTGGGTTCGATCCCCAGGACCACCCATACACAAAAATGTATGCACGCATGACTGTAAGTCGCTTTGGATAAAAGCGTCTGCTAAGTGGCATATTATTATTATAGAACAAACAGTCAAATCATGTGAAATGCAAAACAATGTATTTGGTAGAAAGAATACATACTATTCACTTCTGGATACATCTTTAGCTACCATATGCAGGAAATGAGAGGAGGCCTAATCAAAGGAGGCAGCAGGAGCCCTCTGGACCTCAGTGCTGGATGATGCTGCAGCGTCTTCCCACCTTGACTGTGGCTGAGCTAGGCTTCACATTGTACCGCTGTGGAGCCTGCGGTGTCTTGCTCTCCCCAGCACCAGCACTTGCTCTCCCCAGCACCAGCTGTTTAATGAGGGCAGGGTGGGGATGTGAGACAGTGGCGGTGCCGGTCGAGGTCTTTAGAGCCAGGCTGTGAGAGCTTTGCAAGGGGGCCGAGGCGGTTGTCACTCCCTGGGTGTGGGCCAAGGGGGCCGAGGCGGTTGTCACTCCCTGGGTGTGGGCCAAGGGGGTCGAAGGGGTTGTCACTCCCTGCCTCTGAAGATGCTCCATGTGTTTCATGATCAGGTTGTCCGCAAGGTGCCTTATCTCCCCCTGGTCCATGAATGATACCTTATCCCTCTGTCTGAGTGGGGCTGGGCGTTTCCGAACAACAGTGGAGGCTTCTGCCACCTGGGTGGGCTTCCTGGTGGGCTGGCTGGTTGCCCAGGCAAGGGTGGAGTGGTGTGACTGGGCCACCATGCCAGGGAAGTGTTTGAGCTTTACCTCCATACACTTACTCCTCACCTTCTTCTCCAGCCATTGTCCCTCCGGGGTCAAGGTCATCACAGCGGAGGGCTGGTTCAGAGAGGGTCTGGTCTGGGGTGGTTTAGTAGCATGGGTCTCGGCTGGCTGGAGCATGGTGCTGGTGGTGGTAGTCTTCTCCACAGGTCTGATGGCTGGTGAGATGTCCTTTGCTGCAGCTACAGCTGCAGTAGCCTTCGGCTCCCCCGCTGGCTTGGTAGTCTTGTTCTTCAACCTGAACTCTGTGTTGAGAACTCGTCCAGAGAACACCGCCTGGCAGTCAGTCATGTTGCCCATGATTTTCCTGTCTTCTTTGCTGCAGGAGGTGGGGGGCTGCAGGGGCGTGAGGTCGCCCACGTACCTGGTGACCAACTTGGGGAAGCCCCAGAGGCGCTGGCTCTGCTTGCGGCAGATGTGAGACTCCAGCTTCTCCCGGACCTCCTGGGAAATTAAGGGGACCCTGGCGCCCTGAGCGTACATTATAATGAGTTTACGCTCCGACCCTGGAGACTGACATGGAGCCTGGGAGTGAAATGGAGGGTTTACACCCTGTGGACAGAAGGCTGGCATGTTGACAGTTTTCCTGATGATCTCGGATCCTTTCTTAGCCTGAGAGGTGGTTGAGGTGTTGGAGTGGGTGGTAGTGGTGTTGGTTGGGGGGGAGGTTGAGCTGGTGGTGCCTCCTCCCTTCAGCCTCTCGGCGAGCAGCCACCTAACGATGGAGATCATCAGCACGGCAATCCTCCAGCGATTGCGGGCGACCTTAGATTATAGATTCGATTAGATTCTATTTATTGTCTTCCGAGAATACGTTACTTTTCACAAACGTGTACATTTAGACAAACACCAAACCAACAACTCATCACCCAGACATTTTAAAAAACAGTAGTGGTTGTATCTCAAATGGCACCCTATTTCCTTTATTGTTCACTATGTAGGAAATAGGGTCCCATTGGGGACGCAGTTTAACAGTAAATTTTTACAGAACCTTCTGCGTCACGTTGAGTTCCAGGCGTCTGCAGTGCCAGCAGTGCAGGAGGGGTGGGTCTGCTTTCCTCGGCACTACCTCAAACAGCTGTCTCACCGTCAGAATCTGTCTCACAGTCGGAGTCTTGGAGCGGTCTGGAGTTGTCTTGGAATGGTCTGCACGGTCTGGAGTGGTCTTGGAGCAGTCTGTATGGTCTGTGAGGTCAGCAGCTCTGTCTTTGCCGTCAGGGGACGTGACAGTAGAAGGAGCTGCCACAGGAATAGCCACAGAGTCCACTTTGGTCTCCATCAGAGTCCAGTTTCGCCTCCAACCAGTAGCAGCAGGCTGACGAGGGCTGGGCTGGTATTCCAGGGGCAGAGGGGAGTCAGAAGGAGACACGTACCTAGAGGAGCTGCAGGAGGAGCTATGGGAGGAGCACGTGGAGCCATGATAACTGTCCTCATCATCACGACCTCCTGGTAGCTGGAGGCAGGGTGTGGCCTGTGAGCTAGGACTACCCACTGGGCTAGGACTAACCGGAGGGCAGGGTCTATCTTGACTATCTGGACTACAGCCTTTCAGGTATTTAAACCTGTCAGGTGGAGGCCGTTTCTTACAGGTTTGGCATGTGCTGCAGTCACTAGATCTGGAGGGTATAGAAGATCTAGAATGTGATCTAGAAGATGATCTGGAAGATGATCTTGGGTAGCATGAGTCAGAGCACGACTCAGAGGCAGAGCAGCAGTCCAGGTCCACCTGAGAGGTGAGGTCGTCTATCTGTAACTTCTTCATGTCCAGCAGTTCCTCCAGGTGTTGGAGGTATCTGTAGTTGAGCTGCACTCCCTCTGTGAACATATTGACCAGCTCTCTGCAAGAGAAAATATCAGACTGGGTTTAAATTGAGTTCAGAGCTATGAAAGATCCCTTTGAATTCACAATGAATTATGAAGGATGAAACTTACTGGTGAATCTCGCCGAAGACATCATCCTGTTGAAAAATAAAAATACATGGGTGTATAAGATAAGGATTTTGAAATATACATTCTATAAATTCTGCATGGCAAACAATGGCGAAATTAGAAAGTAGATCTACAAATGAAGATCTAGCGCATGCATTTATATGGAGAGCTGAGGTCGCTGGACAGCGCTCGTCTAACAGGTAGGCTAGACAGTTTAGTGGTAGTCACTCCGCGGTGCTAAAAGGACAGCGCCACTGCAGCTATAGTTCTCATGTTTGTGGGCAGTAGGACAGTTTGTTAGTAGTTTGTCACAGCCTGGCTGACAGTCCCGCGTCAAAAACCATTACATAAAGAAGTAAAGTCTACTGGCGGCGCGCACTTACATCGTTTTTACGCAGATGGATAGCCCCGAACAGGAGCAAGAGGAGAATCAGGAAAAGGTTGAGCCCGATGACACCATGTGAGCCGAACTCCTCCTTATATGTTTGCAGGAGCTGGGGCACACGGAGGCCCAGGTATTCTACTGATGTGGCAAACATGTTAACTTCTTAAGTCAGACATGGTCATGATCACTCGGATATGAAGGATACGCTACCGCTTAGATCCAGTGATGGCGTGCTCTTTTACCAATGGCAAACGTGGGGTTGAAGCAACGTGGCAATATTACAGCTCTGTTCGATAGATAACCTACAGTGTATCTGACCGTTACAGGTTGTTGTGGGCCACATAAGTAGCAGGTGCGCGAAACGCTATTATGACGCAAGCTTGATGTGTAGCATAGAATTAGGATTTGGAATACAATAGAATATACCGAATTTAATAGGATCTCTATGATGTGTAGTGCGTTACGCAATCAAAGTAAACAGTAGCTGGGTATCCCAACGCATCCTAAATTGAGGTCTCTATGGCCCAATATGCCTCAAAGAGAAACTCCCGTGCTGTGTCCCTCTATACGCCACTCAAATTTACCCTATGGACAATGTATTTCATAGGTCTACCATAAGAACAAACAGCAATATCCTATCTGTTGTTGGGTTTGAGAATTCCACAAATGAAAGCAAAACATCACCAACCTAGAATGTTTTTTTTCCACCGTAGGGGTTTGCTAGGCTACCCAGTTGGAGCCAGTGGGGTCGGTTGGGCTCACTTGGGTTAATGATGTATCATAGTGATTTTCCTGAAGGTCTATGTCCCTAGAGTTGGAAAGTGTGTGATAGCATTGTAACAATGGTAGCTTTCTCTGTGTTAGCACTCTTTCTCATCCCTCCATTCCATTCATTTTTCCCACAGGAATTTGACTCTATGACAAACAATGTCAGTATACAACAAGTGATTGCTCACGTATAGCCTACCCTTGACTTTAATCGTATATCATTGGAAAGCTTAGATCAGCTATCCATCAGAAACATTTTTGTAATGTAAAATTCTAATAAAATCCAATTGTATTCAACACAGTTTACAGCAGGTATAAAAGGTGCAGTAAAATGCTTACTTGTGAGCTCCCTCAACAGCACAGTACAATATCAATATCAAATAATAATCAAAAGTCAAATAAAAAAAGTAAGTAAGAAGGTAGTATGCATAGTAATATAACGGTACACAAAAAGATATACAGTATAAATGATGAGTGCAATTTCAAGTATGACTGTATGACTATATATTTATATTTATATATATAAAGTGGATAGTGTCTTGGTTGCGTAGTTGTATAAATAGTTTATAAACAGAGCAGCAGTGTTGACTGTGTGTGTGTGCTTGTGTGTAAGGTATAGATGTGTGGAGAGTCAGTGGAAATAGCCTCTATAAGGTGCAGGTCTGTGCCGGTAGACAGCTAGGGTTATCTGTTGAACGGTCTGATGGCCGGATGGTAGAAGCTGTCTCAGACCCTGTTGGCTCAATCAGGGGCGTCATGCACAAAGTACGTGAGGATGGCTTCGGGATGGTCCGGAGGGGGGCTAGGAACCCCGACCTTAAATTGGATAATTTGCATTTTTCAAACACCTGAAACAGCTTTCTCCTGCAATCTAGGGACATAATCATTATGCTTAATTAAAAAATATGTATATTTTTCTGCATATCTAAGCATACCTCTTCAGGTAGAAGATAGAAACTAAATATGCTTCTCTCCAAAAAAATACAGAAAACATTAATCTGGGTAAAAGATTGAAAGGAATGTGAGTCTTATTCAGTACATTTAGTTACTGCTTGCTTTTCTAAAGGCTACCAACCTTGCCAGCAGGCATGCCAGATAAGATACAGATGCTGTATCTTAATTTGATCATCCTGTTGTTGCAGGAAAATAAAACTTGTAGAGTATTCAAGGTTTGAAAAGGCTTCTAAAGTTTGTAATTTCCACTTTAATATTTCACACTTGATTTGCCCTAATGAAAAATGTATCAACCCTAATTATAATCCACATAATAATCAAAATGTCCTGTTGCTGCAGGATTATTTCCCTGCTATAGCAAACTGGCTCAAATGAAGATCCTATATCTGTAGTTAGACAAGCCACCTACTCTAACTTGATAGCTAATTATGAGGTTGGGTGATAGGTTCCCAATCTGGGCCATCTAAAGCCAACTTCATAAAATTGCTAGGTGTTTAGTAGTATTAGAGAGAACCAAACAAAACCAACAACAACAAAAAATGATAAAAACTGTCAAGATTATTAATATTGCAGACAGATTGTGGCTTTCCAATCCTCCATATATATATTTTGTAAATATATAATATATATATTTGGATATATTTTCCTTTATTATTTTTTCACCTAACCCGACCACCCCTCCCCTATCTGGCGCTGACGGAAACATGGATCACCACTGAAAACACTGCTACTCCTACTGCTCTCTCCTCGTCTGACCATGTGTTCTCGCATACCCCGAGAGCATCTGGTCAGAGGGGGTGGTGGTACAGGAATCCTCATCTCCCAAGTGGACATTCTCAATTTTTCCCCTAACCCATCTGTCTATCTCCTCATTTGAATTCCATGCTGTCACAGTCACTAGCCCATTTAAGCTTAATATCCTTGTCATCTATCGCCCTCCAGGTTCCCTGGAGAGTTCATCAATGAGCTTGACGCCTTGATAAGTTCCTTCCCTGAGGATGGCTCACCCCTCACAGTTTTGGGGGATTTCAACCTCCCTATGTCCACATTTGACTCATTTCTCTCTGCCTCCTTCTTTCCACTCCTCTCCTCTTTTGACCTCACCCTCTCACCGTCCCCCCCTACTCACAAGGCAGGCAATACGCTTGACCTCATCTTCACTAGATGCTGCTCCTCTACTAATCTCACTGCAACTCCCCTCCATGTCTCCGACCACTACTTTGTTTCCTTTTCTCTCTCGCTCTCCTCCCACACTACTCACTCTGCCCCTACACAGATGGTAATGCGCCGCCGCAACCTTCGCTCTCTCTCTCCCACTACTCTCTCCTCTTCCATCCTATCATCTCTTCCCTCTGCTCAATCCTTCTCCCTCCAATCTCCTGATTCTGCCTCCTCAACCCTCCTCTCCTCCCTTTCTGCATCCTTTGACTCTCTGTGTCCCCTATCCTCCCGGCCGGCTCGGTCCTCCCCTCCAGCTCCGTGGCTTGATGACTCATTGCGAGCTCACAGAACAGAGCTCCGGGCAGCGGAGCGGAAATGGAAGAAAACTAAACTCCCTGCCGACCTGGCATCTTTTCACTCCCTCCTCTCTACATTTTCTTCATCTGTTTCTGCTGCTAAGGCCACCTTCTACCACTCTAAATTCCAAGCATCTGCCTCTAACCCTAGGAAGCTCTTTGCCACATTTTCCTCCCTCCTGAATCCTCCCCCCCCCCCCCCCCCCCCCCCCTCCTCTCTCTCTGTGGATGACTTCGTCAACCACTTTGAAAAGAAGGTTGACGACATCCGATCCTCGTTTGTTAAGTCTAATGACACTGCTGGTCCTGCTCACACTGCCCTACCCTATGCTTTGACTTCTTTCTCCCCTCTCTCTCCAGATAAAATCCTGCGACTTGTGACTGCAGGCCGCCCAACAACCTGCCCGCTTGACCCCATCCCCTCCTCCCTTCTCCAGACCATCTCCGGTGACCTTCTCCCCTACCTCACCTCGCTGATCAACTCATCCTTGACCGCTGGCCATGTCCCTTCCGTCTTCAAGAGAGAGAGAGTTGCTCCCCTTCTCAAAAAACCAACACTCGACCCCACTGATGTCAACAACTACAGACCAGTATCCCTTCTTTCTTTTCTTTCCAAAACTATTGAGCGTGCCGTCTTTAGCCAACTCTCTTGCTATCTCTCTCAGAATGACCTTCTTGATCCAAACCAATCAGGTTTCAGGACTGGTCATTCAACTGAGACTGCTCTTCTCTGTGTCACGGAGACTCTCCGCACTGCTAAAGCTAACTCTCTCTCCTCTGCTCTTGTCCTTCTAGACCTGTCTGCTGCCTTTGATACTGTGAACCATCAGATCCTCCTCTCCACCCTCTCCGAGCTGGGCATCTCCGGCGCGGCTCACTCCTGGATTGCGTCCTACCTGACCGGTCGCTCCTACCAAGTGGCGTGGCGAGAAGCTGTCTCCGCACCACGTGCTCTCACCACTGGTGTCCCCCAGGGCTCAGTTCTAGGCCCTCTCCTTTTCTCCCTATACACCAAGTCACTTGGCTCTGTCATATCCTCACATGGCCTTTCCTATCATTGCTACGCTGACGATACACAACTAATCTTCTCCTTTCCCCCTTCTGATAACCAGGTGGCGAATCGCATCTCTGCATGTCTGGCAGACATATCAGTATGGATGACGGATCACCACCTCAAGCTGAACCCTGGCAAGACGGAGCTGCTCTTCCTCCCGGGGAAGGACTGCCCGTTCCATGATCTCGCCATCACGGTTGACAACTCCGCTGTGTCCTCCTCCCAGAGTGCGAAGAGCCTAGGCGTGACCCTGGACAACACCCTGTCGTTCTCCGCCAACATCAAGGCGGTGACCCGCTCCTGCAGGTTCATGCTCTACAACATTCGGAAAGTACGACCCTGCCTTACACAGGAAGCGGCACAGGTCCTAATCCAGGCACTTGTCATCTCCCGTCTGGACTACTGCAACTCGCTGTTGGCTGGCCTCCCTGCCTGTGCCATTAAACCCCTACAACTCATCCAGAATGCCGCAGCCCGTCTGGTGTTCAACCTTCCCAAGTTCTCTCACGTCACCCCCCTCCTCCGCACACTCCACTGGCTTCCAGTTGAAGCTCGCATCCGCTACAAGACCATGGTGCTTGCCTATGGAGCAGTGAGGGGAACGGCACCTCTGTACCTTCAGGCTCTGATCAGTCCCTACACCCAAACGAGGGCATTGCGTTCATCCACCTCTGGCCTGCTGGCTCCCCTTCCTCTGCGGAAGCATAGCTCCCGCTCAGCCCAGTCAAAACTGTTCGCTGCTCTGGCACCCCAATGGTGGAACAAGCTCCCTCACGACGCCAGGACTGCGGAGTCACTCACCACCTTCCGGAGACATTTGAAACCCCACCTCTTTAAGGAATACCTGGGATAGGATAAAGT